CAGAGCAATCTTGCCAAAAATTTATTGGAAAATAAGATACATATTTCTGTGAAATTTTATAACTATATGACGTCTGTAAGAGTAAATAATAGCACAGTCCGCGTAATTTTTGAACGGCCCTCGTAATCAATACAGCCCCACTAAAACCCCAGACCCTGGGGCCATGAATTTCACAATTTTGGTAGAGGACTCAATGGTCATTACATTTATGCTAACAGTTTGACTGCTTGATGTCCAAGAGTAAAGAAAAAAAAATTTAAAGATTGCACTAATTTAAGTGGTTTTGGCCCCAACCCTCAGGCCCCAGGGGAGGGGGGCAGGGACCATGAAATTAATAATTTTTATTCCCTTCACCCATAGATGCTTTATGTAAAAATTGGTGGAAATTGGTTGAGTGATTGCAGAGAAGAAGCTGAAAATGTTCAAATGTTAACACACGACGCATGACGAACGACGACGGATGAAAACAGATAGCAATAGGTCACCTGAGTTTACTCAAGTGACGCAATGATTATTTTAAATCAAAAATGCGTTGTGTCTGATTTCGTTTTGAAAATATCCATTCCTAAATATTTTGAACTATTTTGAGTGAAGAAACAGCAATCGTGTAACGTGTAGAATCGTGTGCGTGAAGGATCGTTCGTGTAACAGGTTTAATCATGTGTGTAATGTGATCGTTCATGTAAGTTGTCAACAATAACATTGCAGCCACTGTATGTTGATACATATTGATGAGAGATATTCAACTGCATCAACATTATTTGACCCTGACCTTTCCTTTGACCTTGACCTCACCTTTCCTGATTCTGTGTAAAACTTCTTATGCTGATACATACTGATGTAAGCGATTCAACTGAATCACCATTTTTTTTTACCTTGACCTTTCATTTGACCTTGCCCTCACTTTTATCAAATTGTGTTTAAGTCAGTTTTAAAGAAGTCTTTCAAGATAAATTTAAACTTCATATGTTGATTCATATTGATGAGAGATATTCAACTGCTTCAGCATTTTTGACCTTGACCTCATTTTTCCTTGAGTAGTTTCATGTATCAGCATATGAAGTTTGACACTAATTTAGAGGAATATCAACACTTTAACAAAATGTATTATATGGTCAACTTTGAAGTGACCTTGAGACCACGCCCTTTGCCCAAGAGTGATTCCCAGTGAAAACTTTAATATAAAGCACATCCTCATCCTTTTTTGTAAGTTTGATGATAATCTACCCAGTGGTTATTGGGAAGATTTTAAGCAACAAGTACTTTTGTTTCTATTTTCCTAGTTATCTTCCCTTGTTTAAGGGTCACAACCCTTTTTTTTTGTAAAAAATGGGAGCCCTTGGGCCAATGATATCTTCTGATTTTGTAAGTCTGAACTTTTATTGTGGTCCCTTCCTACCACTGGGGGTCACGATTTAAACAAATCTGTATCTACACTACCTTAGGATGCTTCCATATAAACATGACCAATCATGACTTTGCTGTTCTTGAGAAGAAGATTTTCTCTCTATATTCCTATGTAAAACTTTGATGGTCCATTGTTGCCCCAACTTTCCCCGGGGGTCATGAATAAATTTGAACAACCTGAGAATACTGCCATATAAATATGACCAATCCTGGCTCTGCTGTTTTCAGGAAGAAGATTTTAAAAGATTTTTCCTATATATTCCTTAGTAAAACATTGATCGTCCATTGATGCCCAACCATACAAATGGGGGGTCATAATTTGAATAAATTTGAATCTACACTTCTTTTGAATACTTCCATATATAGAAATAACAAATGATGACTTTGCGGTTCTCCAGAAGAAGACTTTAAAAGATGTTTCCTATGTATTCCTATGTGATGCTCCACCCTACACTGGGGGTCATGATTTGAACAAACTTGAATCTACACTACCTGAGGATACTTCTATATTAAGGAAAGATGATACAAACAATTTTTTTCTTCGAAAAATATTAAATATCATGTCACAAGTTTAGAAAAGTGGATGGTTCTTAGAATTTTTTCTACAAAGATCTGAAATATGAAAAAGACTTGGAAAATATTAGTTATAATTCAATGAAAAAACAAATATAGACAAATCACATTCAATAAAGCTTTACAGGTGAAAATAAATTTCAGAATATGTTATCTTGGCGCTAAAAGTGTAATATAAAGTTACGAAAAATATACCGAGCCAGGTGAATTTAATTAGGAAAAGCTAAATGGTAAAAATCAGCCTATGTGATATTGCCATTTTTTTTTCTTTTGGATCTTCCTCTTAAAATTCACATGGCTTGGTATATTTTTCTAAGGTTTATATTACATTTTTAGCGCCGGGATTACATTTTCTGAAATTTATTTTCACCTGTAAACCTTTACTAAATGTGATTTTTCTATATTCGTTTTTTTATTGAAACGTTAATAGAATTTTCCAAATCTATTTCATTTTCCAGTTCTTTGGAGAAAAAATTCTAAGAACCATCCACTTTTCTAAACTTGTGATATGATATTTAATCTTTTTCAAAGGAAAAAAGTTGTTTGTATCATCTGTCCTTAATGACTAATTATGGCTATACTGTTTTTGAGAAGAAGATTTGAAAGAAAATTTCTAGTATATATTTTAATCTATGTAAAACTTTGATTGTCCAATTTGTGTCCCTGTCCTTTTCCTGGAGGTAACGGTTTGACCAAAATTTGAATCTAGTACACTACCTGAGGATACTTCTGTATAAATGTGACCAATCATGGCATTGCTTTTCTCCAGAAGATTTCTTGAGATTTATCCTATATATCCCTAACTAAAATTTTGATCCACCAGTGTGACCTTACCCTACCCCCAGGCGGTCGTGGGTTTGAGAAAATTTCAATCTACACTTCTATTTAATAAGACCAATCATGGCTTTGCTGTTCTTGAAAACGGAGATTGTTAAAGATTTTCCTTATATATTCCTTTGTAAGACTTTGATGGTTGATTGTAGCCCCTCCCTACCCCAAGAGTGTCGAGAACAGTAAAGTAAATATCACCAATCATGACTTTACTGTTCTCGACAAGAAGATAAAAAAAAATTCCTATATATTCCTATATAAAATTTTGTTTGTCAATTGTGGTCCTGCCCTACCCCTGTGGGTCATGATTTGTAAAAAAAAATTGAATTGACACTACCTGAGGATGTTTTCAAATAAGTTTCATCTTTCCTGGCCCAGTAGTTCTTAAGAAGAAGATTTTTTAAAGATGCCATTAATTTTTCACTAATTTTTAATGATTCCCCCTTGGAATAGGATGTGACCCTTCATTTAAACAGACTCGAGTCCCTTCACCCAAGGATACTTTGTGGCAAGTTTAGCTGAAATTGGACCAGTGGGTCTTGAGAAGAAGTGGAAAATGTGAAAAGTTTACAGACAGACAGCTAGCTAGACAGACGGACGAGGATGGACAAAAAGTGATCAGAAAAGCTCACTTAAACCTTTGGCTCAGGTGAGCTAAAAAAGTATTCTTATTGACGGAACTAATGGGGGTGATAATAACAGTAACAGACAGATTTATACTCCAAATGGTGTGGTTTTACATAACGAGGAGAAAAGAACTTCAAATTTAGTGGCATGTGGGGGTGGCGTTGTAACATGGGGGCGGGGGGTATAACGAAGGGACACTTCATGTACTTTCCTGTTCAAATTAAAAAGTGGGTGAAATGTTATAATAGAGATTGAGTTAAGTCCAACCCATCAGACCCAAGGGGGACAAGGACCATGAAATTCACAATTTTGTTCCTCTTCACCAAAATTTGTTGAAATTTTACAGAAGGTAACAATTTTCAAATATTAGCACGAGATGCACAATGGACATACACAAAGAAAAAACAGATAGCTATAATTAACATAACTCAAGTGACCTAATAATTAAGTTACGAAATGGTACTAAACTCTCAACAAGAGGCCCATGGGTCACATCACTCACCTGAGCACTTTTGCTAGTTCAGTATTGTATGAGTGGTAGCAACCTATATCCCGATTTGAACTTGAATCTACACTGAGTTCGTTACCATATTTCATAGACAAATCATGGCATTAAAGTTTTGAAAAAAAATTCCTATAAGCTTTATCTTCTATTGTGGCCCCCACCTTACCCCTGGGGGTCAAGATTTGAACAAACTTTAATCTACACTACCATATAACTTGACCAATCATGGCTCTGCTGTTTTTAGAAGATTTAAAAAAAAAGATTTTTCCTATGTATTCCTATTTGGAAAATTTGATAGTTATTGTGCCCCCTCCCAATCCCCAGGGGTCATGATTTGAAAAAAAACCTGTGGATGCTCCCACATGATTTTCATTTTTCCTGACCCGGCCAGTGGTTTTGGAGGAAATAGTTTTTCCAATGTAAACTGAAAATGTAATATTTCGATCATCAATTGTGGCCCTACCCTACCCCTGGGGGTCATGATTTAAACAAACTTTAATCTACAATACCTGAAGATGCTTCCATATAAATATGACCAATCAAGGCTTTGCTGTTCTTTAGAAGAATATTTTTAAAGATTTTTCCCGTATTATTTCTATGTAAAACTTTGATTGTCCCTTCTGGCCCCGCCCTACCCCTGGGGGTCATGATTTGAATAAATTTGAGTTAACACTATCTGAAGAGATTTCCACTCAATTTTCAATTTTCCTGGTCCAGTGGTTTTTGAGAAGAAGATTTTGAAAATATGCCACTAAATTTTCGATATATTTAAATCATTTCCCCTGGAATTAGGGCACTTAGTCCTTCAAATGAACAAACTGGAATCCCCTTCACCCAAGAATGCTTTGTGGCAAGTTTAGTTAAAATTGGCCCAGTTGTTCTTTAGAAGTTAAAAATGTGAAAAGCTTACAAACACACAGACAGATGGACAACAGACAAAATGTGATCAGAAAAGCTCACTTGAGCTTTCAGCACAGGTGAGCTAAAAAATGAAGGACACAGTTGATTATTTTTGTCTAGATTTTTCGACTAAAAAACATTCTTCATCATAGCAAACCTTTTCTCTTGTGAATTTCTCTGAATACTTTCTCTACATCTTGAACATCATGTCTCTTATGATCATCAGAGGTCCTGATGCACATCTGACAAAAGGTGACGTCACACGGGATACAGAACTGGGATAACGGACGACTTGGATGTTTCCAGCATTTGAAATCCTCCAGAGGGAGACCTTTTAAAACACGCCAAAAGAGAAAAACTTATAAAACAATATACACAAGATACATATATACAGATACCTAGCATTTCATCATTATCATATATTTACATCAACTGAATATTTCCTTCTTTATTTCTTAAGAAAACCCATTGCGTTCATCACTGCATGAACTACATTAGGCATATCACCTGTACAGATTTCTTGATCAGTGGCCGTTCCATCAATGTAACGTACAAAGACGTTTGCATTATTAACACAATAATTAATATTTTTAATCCTTCTTAAAATGATAATTTAAACAGATATAAATATAAACAATACACGAGGCCCATGGGCCACATCGCTCATCGGAGCCCAGCCCTACCCCCGGGGGTCATGATTTAAACAAACTTGAATCTACATTACCTGAGCATGCTTCCATATAAATATGATGAATTATGGCTTTGTCATTCTTGAGAAGAAGATTTTAAAGAATTTTCCTATATATTTCTATGTTAAACTTTGGTCGGCCATTTTGGCCCCGTCCTACCCGCGGGGGTCATGATTTGAACAAACTTGAATTTAAACTACCTGAGGATGTTTCCCCATAAGTTTCATCTTTCCTGGCACAGTGGTTCTTAGAAAGAAGATTTTTAAAATATGTCACCAAATTTTCATTAATATCCAATTACAGTCAAACTTGTCTTAGCGGCCACCCAAAATCAACGGCCACTCGCGGTCAGCGGCCACTTTCAGTTCCCCCCGACGTTTTTTACGATATATTTTAACTGGAATAAACGGCCACCTGTGTAACGCGGCCAGCGGCCACCCAAATCCTAGCCCAACAGCCTTATGGACACTGTAATAAGCGGCCATTTCGTCACTTGTTGCGATCCTATATCACATCTTTTAAACGAATTGGCTTGGGTAATTATATCCTCGATAGTCAATTTAACCTATTAATGCTATTAAACAAATTGCTTTTAGATACGCAGAAATCTGTTTGTGATTATGAAAAAAAAATATTAGTCGTGTAAGATCAATTTGTAATTATTTTTCAAGATCGCCGATTAAAAAATTAAAAGAATTTAATTACAATTGATACTTTTCTCAAGGTAAAGAAATTCACACCTTTTAGATTGTGATTCCATGTAGAAACCCTAATTGCTACTCTTGTGAAAACAAAGTGCTTCATATGCCATGATTATCTCGTGAATTTCACTATCAAGAGACAATCAATAGGGATTAGTTACGCTCTACTGCACTTGACACCTGTGTTATGGAATGATTTTCAACTGCGTAAATACATCTCTCTGGTCAACTGGTTGATTTTATTTGTGTGTCTGTGTATGTTACATAGAAATTCTTTTATAAAGCTTTATAAACAATAAGATTAATCAGACTTTAAAAACATTAGCAAGTATTTTTTTCTTTATAAAAAAGGATAATAGTCAGCACTGTATGTATTTCTTCAAATGAAAATTAAAAGAATTTTATATTTTAATGTAGCAAAAGCACACTGATGAATGCAAGATTTTCAACTATTATGTAGGAATAGAAACATGCACAAAACCTAAACATCTGGAATTCTTTAATATTCTTTTTAAAAAAGCTTGAATTATTATATATGCACATAAAAAAGCTTTTGTGAAATTGACCAGTTTAATTATGATTAATTAATTTAACTGTAGTGCTTAATGTTGTTTATTTATTGACCGAACGTCCTTTTTGAGGACAAACTGGAATAAGAGGCCACCTGTCTTAAGTGGCCAGTTTCCAGACTTCCCAAAGGTGGCCTCTTAAAACAAGTTTGACTGTATCTCCCCTTGAATGAGGGCCTGGCCCTTCATTTGAACAAACTTGAATTCCTTCACCCAAGGATACTCTGTGGCAAGTTTGGTTGAAATAAGCCCGGTGATTCTTGAAAAGAAGTCGAAAATGTGAAAAGTTTACAGACAGACAGAACAAATTTGATCAGGAAAGCTCACTTGAGCTTTCAGCTCAGGTGAGCTAAAAATGTTTGTCTTTGTTTGTTATTACTGGAATGAACGGTCGCAGCTATTGCAGAAAAAATTTACATAACCCGCGTAATATGTATTAGCATTTCATCAGCTGCATATATAAAAGTAATAACAAACAAAGAAAGCATTTTATTGTTTAAATATTTTCATAATGAACTTTTTCCATTTGAAATCCTCCAGTGGGAGCTCTTTTAACAAGAAAAAATAATATACACAATATACATAGATATATATAGCATTTCATCATTATCATATATTTTCTCAATTTTTCCCTATATTACTCATGTTACTGGTGAGTCTCACATTTTGATTTTATTACTGTACATTTGTCAAGAACAATTTCACATTCTTTCATTTTTCACTATTCAATTAATCTTTAGGTGTCTACTGCAATGTAAATGATTAACTATTTGTTCCACACACACACACACACACACACACACACACACACACACACACACACACACAGAGAGATTCTGAGAAGATGATGCAACTTAGTTATAACCGCTACAATCAATGAACACTATATGTAATATACATGTACGATGTCACCCCAGTACACAGTGTAGATTTACTGAACACCTGCTACAGAAATACACAACATTCCTACACAGAGCTGGGTTAATGTCACTGGTGTTGATATCAAAACTGCCAGTATGTGTTCTGATAGATTGAATTATTTTTGCTTGAATAAAGTATTGAAAGAACTATATCAATATACTGTTTAGTGAAATAAAATGTCCCCCTCCAAACCCCTAATCCCTCCCTATACCTCACACCCCACACTCCATTAAACAGTTGACTATTCTCTAGATTCCATTTCCTTAGACATACAGTGTGTCAGTGACATATAAATAGTTAAACAAACACTAAACCACACCATTCAATCCCCCTTCGATTTCCTCAAGTTAGGAACCCGAAGCTTTAATATTTATGCATACATGTATATATGCTATAAAGTTTCATCCACAATCATGATGTCAACCAAAACAGAAGTTAAAATTAATCAGAGTTGTTCAAACAATCAATCACCAGTTAGAATATTTAGCATGTGTACATGATGTAGAATAGAATATATTTTTTCATATGTAAAAAAAAAAAAATATGTTAAATTTGATCTGCTACAAATCCGTGTTTGTTAAAGACATCAAAGCTTAAAAACTTTATTTTCCTAAACCAAGTTTACATTATAAGAGCACTAATTAAATGATAAACATATTATATGAATAATGTGTCTATAGTTAAATTCGTTTTATAATTAATGTATCCTCATCATAGAAATATTTCTTGTCAAGTTGTTATCAAAATAATCATGTAATATGTTATCAAACTGAAAACAATCATTGTAATTTAATTCAGTAATGACTTTCCCAGTAATCATATGTGTACATAAAGTATTGTAAAATAATTAAACTAATTAAACTAACTTAACTATAACAATATACAATATGACTTACCAGTCAGGGAGTCTCCATGTACCACTCTGTATATGTTGACTGTGTTGTTGTTTGGTGACCCTACCCACAGTAGGCGTGTGTCATCATCATAACTCAGGCCGTAAAGTATGTCTATCCTGTGTTGTCGTGTGTGTATCTGTGTCAGATAGTGACCCTCACTATCTAACATCTGTACTGAGCCGGTGTATTCATCACACACCAGGATGTGTGACAGCGCGTCAGTACAGATTCCATGTGGTATTATTCCTGATCCTGATGGAGGACCTGTGTAGGAGAATCGATAATTACCATCACGATCTGTCACCACTACACCACGGCCCCAGTCAGACACAATAACATCTCCATTGCGGTTCTCTGTAATGTAGCTAGGTAGTCTATACAGTCCCTGGTCTGTGTTGTCGTTGTGCCGTATGGTCTGGATGTCTTCTCCTGTGGAGTTATACCGCACTACCTTGCCTGTCTCTGTATCATAATTAAACATCACGACCAGCAGGTCTCCATTGGAGGGGGAGCTGTAGACACTCTCTGGTCTCCATGGCGATTTTATGTTCTGTATTATCGTAGTCTTTACTTTGTTCCCTGTTGATAGTTTTATGATGTTATAACTACTGTGTATATAAATTAGATCACCGTTAGAATTCACTGTGTGTCCTCCTACAGCACTACCTATATCTGTCAGATGATGTAGTTCTTCCCCTCTTGTGTTTGTCAGTATAAGATTGCCATAGCCATCACTGATCCAGACCCGGTCTGATGTAACATGTGAAATGTGACTACCCCACCTAAGACCTCTCACTGTGACAGATTTCTGTAACACAAATCTATACATCATATACAGCAGACATCTATTTCATCTTGATCCTGTTGTTTATGTTGATTTCCTTCAGTCAGGGAGATATCTCTGTAAATTACAACACAGTGCTAGAATTATCTACATCAAAAACATAGACTCTCTTTACAGTTTTTTTCAATTTACTTATTTGGATCATTCAATAATTGTCTCTTTAAAACACGATATACTGTATTTACATTTACTTTATTTATTTGTCTCTAGACTTTTACATATTTTGCTTATTAACAAATTTAATTTTATCTACATTTTATATACTGTATAGGGGATTAATTTCACGGGTTGTAATTTTCATTTTTTTCTCTCATCTGACACGATCGCGGTTTCTTGAATTCGCGGAATTTGGTATGTAATAAAAGTTACTTCCCTTGTCTCCATTTAAACCATACCATAGCTACATGGAAACGACATTAATCAGAGTTATGTCTTTATTTCACGAATAACAGGGTAAGTTATTATAAAATTTAGATTTAATAAATAATCAATTAACACAAGTGCAGTTATTAATAGTCCCTAAACGTTCAATGACTTTCCTATACGCTATTACGATGAGTACATGTGCACCCGAGATCTTCAATACAACGCGGCGGAAAACCATTGGACTACGAAATAATATCCTTCCACACTTCCCAGTAAGTTCGATATTTATTAGTATGATTTTTAAACCCAAATGTCGATAAAAAATACATGAACTAATATGCATGAAAATTAAAAATTTTATAAGTGCGCTTTAGCGCATGCAATGAAATTAAAATTTTATGAATAAAACTGAAGTAAGGTATAATGATGTATTCTCCCTGGCTTCCGGTAATCCCAGCCTATTTAAAGAGAGAGATCTCGCGAGATCTTCCTTCTGACTTTTGGCTGAGTTGATAAAAGATATATCTATATATATATATATTTTATAATAGGAAATACAATATAACATTCAAAAAACTTTAATTTCATTGCAGTAAATTGATAATTGCACAAATAAAAAAAGATTTTTTTTTAATTTTGTTATCAAGGTAGTGAAGGTACAAAGTACTAAGTTGTTCACGACTCAGGACTCTAGCTACTTCTTGCCGCCAAAGGTTGGAGCTCTACAAAACATATAAAATATATGTTTAATCTCAAATGTAATTCATAAACTGAAATAAACATCAAATGTATAATACATACATGTACACATGTACCTTTAAAACAAGACTAAAACATTCAGGTAAGTGTATAAGCCCCTAAGGTGTGGAGGGTGGGGGGCTTATACCTTACTTCAGTTTTATTCATAAAATTTTAATTTCATTGCATGCGCTAAAGCGCACTTATAAAATTTTTAATTTTATTTCATAAAACTGAAGTAAGGTATAATGATGTATGTTTAAAGCCAAATGTTTTAGTTTTGGTTTGATATTATTTACTTCAATCTTAACACAGAATCTGAGAATCCTGAATCATTTTGGACAGGTTTATTGTAGAAAGTATAGAAAGTACTTGCTGATTTCCAGTTTGCTTTCTCCATGATTTGTTTGACAGATAACCCAAACTTGTTTGCTTTAGACGTACTAGCTCCTCTAGTAGAATGAGCTTTAAAAATATCTGTATTAATCCCTGAATCTTCTAACACTGTTTTGAGCCAACTAGCAATTGTGCAAGACTTAACAGACTTGTGTGGTTTCAAAAAACTAAGAAAAAAATTACTTTCTCCTTTTCTAATAGGTTCTGTGCTCTCTAAATATTGCAAAATGTGTTTTCTGACATCAAGTAGTTCACTTTCAAACTGACTGAATACCAACTTCATAGGCTCTTGACCTACCCGTCTTGTTTTAGTCAGCTGCACAACTTTAAACTCTATTCCCTTTGGGTAAATTTGCATATGATTCAAATCTAAATGGTACAATTCTGATGACCTGCAAGCTGTTGACAAAGCCATGAGACTGACAACTTTCAATGTTAACAATTTTAAGCCTAAATTTTCACAAGGCCCTAATGAAATTAGATATTTTAATACAATATCAACATCCCATGTTTGAGTGTATCTGGGCATAGGCGGTCTACAATTAAACACCCCCGACATTACCTGCTTAATGAGGTTGCTTTGGCCTACTTTAATACCATTGATTTCTGGGTGGAAAGCTGAAATTGCTGATCTATAACTGTTTACAGACCTGTACTCATAACCTTTTTGGAACAATTCTGACAAGAAATTAGCTATATGTTCCAAAGAGGAGAGAAAGGTATTAATTTGTCTGCTGTTACACCAGCTAGCCCAGTGTTTCCAGCAGCTGTTGTAAGCTGATTGAGTTCCCTTTCTCCAAGATGCTGCGAGTAATTCGGAAGTGTTTGTTGATAAACCTTGCACCTCTTTATATCGCCTGAAATTTTCCAGGCCACTAATTTCAGTGTCCCGTTGACTATCAGAGGGTGTGGTTTCCCCCTGGTGACAGAAGAAGGTCTCTCTGTGGTGGTAGAAGAATTGGGTTTACAATTGACATGTTCAATAACATTGGGTAATAAGGTTGTGTCTGCCATGATGGTGTCACAATGACCAACTCTCCCTTCTCTTTCTGGACTTTGGCTATGCATCTCTGTATCAGACAAAATGGTGGAAATGCATAAGCTTTCATCTCTCCCCATTTCGCTAGGAATGCATCTGTTCCCATAGCAAATGGGTCAGGTTTCCAGCTCATGTATTTCTCCAACTGTGCATTTAGCCTGTCTGCAAACAAATCCATTTCTAGAGGACCCCATTGTAAATTTATCTGTGTAAATATCTTTGGGTTCAGTCTCCAGCTGTTTGTGCTCATTGGCAACACATTCCTGCTTTCCCAATCTGCTTTCTGATTGAGAACTCCAGGAAGATGTTCCGCTGTTAGAGTTATTTTCTTTTCTAGGCAATACTCCCATAGATCTTTTGCTATGTTTGTTAAAATGGGCGATTTTGTCCCCCCCCCCCCCTCTTGTTCACATAAGTAACCGCAGTTACATTGTCCATCCTCAGATGAATGTGTACATTTACCTTGTTCTTTGTCATTGATCTGACAGCAATATTTGC